AAATATATTCAGGTTTGCCATTACAGTTGTAGATTTGCCAAACTGTGTTGTTCTGTTGTTTTTGGCTTTATCTATTTTGAGGGCACAGTATTAGGAGCATATATGTTGAGAATTTTTGTGTACAATGGGTCAGTTTGTTTTGTCACCATCTCTGTCCCTAATAATACATTTTGCTTTTGTTAGTTATTATTTTTTTAAGTGGCAGTGTCAGTCCTCTACTTGTCTCGTAGTTCATATTTGCCTGGTCAGTCTTTTTCCATTTTTTAGTTTTTAGTCTCTCTGGCTTGTGATGTTTTACAATAAAGGATCTTCACGGAGCATTCTCTGAAAGCTGACTTAGTGTCGGGCCTTGTGCCGGGCTCAGTGTGTGGGAAGTTAGAAAATTCTGCCCCAGTGACCTCGGACACAGATGGAAAAGCTGGGTGTGAAACAGAGTTTACACTGCCAGGCCTCATGGAGTTTAGGACATGGAACCTCAGGGAAGGGAGCTTTGATCCATTCAGTCCCATGCTGGGCAGTGTTGCTGGGGTCACCGTGATGACCATGATAGCTCTGGCCCTTCCTCCCTCCCCTCCTCCCAGGGGTTCACTAACCATTGGAGAAGACAGATCCATTCCTAGACAGTGATGACTCTTAAGTGGGCAAAGCTGGGACTTGGGAACCCAGAGGCCCCCGTCTGGGCAGGTGGGAGGTTTCCAGGAAGCAAGCTCAGGGAAGACCTCTCTGTTAAAGATATAGGCCTGTTAAAGTTACATTTGCACAAAGACCCAAGTTACATAAGGCACTCAGCCATATAGAGATCTGGGGAAAAGCATTCCAAAAACCACAGAAGGGAAGAGCTTGGTGACTCTGAGGAACAGACAGCAAGGGGGCCAGTGTGGGAGCCCAGAGGTGAAGCCTGACCCAGCCTGGCTGTTTAGCTTCTTGGAGGAGGAGATAGCTGAGCTGAGACCCTAGAGGATATATAGTTCAGCAGCAATCTACAATCATTCCCTGGGTTCATATCCCTACTCCAAGTCACACCTGTTATGTGTGACCTTGAGCTAGTTAGGCAACCTGTCCTGCCTCAGTTTCTTCATCTATATAATGGAGGTAATAGCGCCTACTGAGGATGAGACAGGGCCCTGGTATTCTGACTACTTTGTGTGCCAGATCAGGTGCTTCCCTGGGCCCCCAGGGGGGGTGTGGAAAAGTCGGAAGGGAGGAAGCTGGACTGGTGGAGTAGCTGGGCCTTTTCCCGAGGGGACGGGGAAGTCATGGGAGGTTCTGAGCAAGGTAGGGACAAGGTCAGGTTTATACTTTAAGAAGACCTGGCTATGGTGTGCATAATGATCGGTAGCAGGCAAGGTTGGTGCAGGGTGTTGAAGATGGACAGATACCAGCAGTGGAGCCATCTTTGGGTGTCTCTTGAGTTCCCTTGGCACTGGAAGGATCTAGGCCTGTGTTGTTCAATAGAAATATAAAGTGAGCCTTACATGTAATTTATTTATTTTTTACATGTAATTTAAAATCTTCTAGGGAGGGTATAGCTCAGTGGTTAGAGTACAGGCTTAGCATGCACAAGGTCCTGGGTTCAATCCCCAGCACCTCCATTAAAATAACTAAATAAATAAACCTAATTATCTCCCCCTACCAAAAAATTAATGAATAAAATCATCTAGTAGTCATATTTAAAAAGCCAAAAGAGAGGAAGTTAAACATTTTAATTGAACTCAAGTATATCCTAAAAATTATCATTTTAACAGTTAATCAATATTTTAAAACCATTATTGAGATATTTCATATTCTTATCTTGTGCTAAATCTGAGTCATATTTGAGGCGCCTGGTTGGAAGGGCGGGACAGAGAGGCCCTTTTGGCCACACGGCTTGGGCCTTGAATGCCAGGCCCAGAGGCTTAGACTCAGTGCCTCCGGAGCCGTTGCAGGGTTATGCTCGTTTGTTTTTCAGGGTGAGGTGATCCCGCTGCCCAATCCCCACCCCACCCCGCCCCAGCAGTAAATCTCGGCTCTTAAGATTCCCTACCAAAGCTAGGCATTTGTAGATCTTTCGGCCCCCTTCCTTCCGTCCTGCAGCCTCAATCCCTGAACTGCTTGGCCCTTTAACTCTCAGCTATCAATCAGAGTTCCTGTTTAGAGGGAACGTCGTATTAAACCTTTCCTTTGTAAGGCCTTGGGCCTCTGTCCTGGCCTTGTTCCTCCGTTTAGCAGGAAGTTGGGAATTGTTCTACGCTCCCTTGCATTCGGCCGTTTCCACACCCACCTCGTCACCTCCCGCCTACTCCTCCCTCTTTCGAAGTTGGGCCCCTTCGCCAAGGCCTTCCTTATATGGGCACGGCCCCGAACGGCCGCCGCTCATTGGCTGGGGGCGTCACGCGCACGTCTGTCAACAAAGGGGCGGAGGGAAAGTAGTCGGGTGCCCGCCTGCGCGGCTGCAGGGGGAAAGGAGCGAGGGGGCGGGCCATTTCTTCCCCTGCACACGCTTGTGCACTGCCCTCTTCTCCCGCTGCCCGCAGTGGGGTTGGGGGTGCTTTGGGGGCGTGTCTAAGTTTCGAGGGTCGCCTAAGGGGTTGGCGGGTTACAAATTTTGCATTTAAGCGATATTTGGAGGGCTTGGGGAAGTTTTTGCGTGGGTGTGGGGGTACTCTGGGGTTCCCTTGAATTTAGGGGGCACTTTGGGACTTGGATTTGGGTTCTTTTGTAGTGTGGAAAGTTCGGTTGTGTTGTAGGGGGTCTCCTTTGTGGTTTGGGGTGTTTGGTGGGCATAGGATTTGGGGAGCCACGGAGACTTAGAAGCAGAGTCCAAGGGTACCAATCCGGACCCCCAGTGGTGGGCTTTTGGCTCCCTTGACTTCCTGCCTGTCTGACTCCCGACGGGATTCAACCTTCTGTGCCTCACGTGGAAACAGGGGCTAATAACACTACCTGCTTCATAGAGACGGAGGAGGATTAGCAGGAATTGTTAGAACAGTACCTAGTAAGCTCCCAGTGAGCGTGCAATAAGCTCTCGCCTCTTTATTAAGATTTGCGACATTTCTTTGGGAGTATTTGGGAGGTTCTTTTGAATTTGAGAAATATACGGCTTGGGATTAGTTTTGTGCATTAGGGAGCTTTTATGTTTTAGTGAGTTACTTTGTGGTTGGGGGGCTTCTGTGGAATTAGGGAATAGATGTGGAGGTTTGGAAAGAGTTTGAGGAGAGTATTTCAGGAAACTGGTCTTTTGGGGCATCTGTGAAGTTGGGAAATTGCTGTTGTTGAGTTCTTGGTAGGCATGGGATCTGTGAGGGGTTCGTTGAGATTGAGGCTTTCTGTGCTGGAAGGGATATTTTTAGGTTTGCAAGTTTAACATAGCATTTGAAAGGGTCTAGATATTTTGGGGTATTTGGGGTCTGAATATATTTGCATCTATAGAGAATGAATGGCCTTTGCTGTGCTAACTTTTATTCCTGGACATTAAGATATGTTGGTGGTTGGTAAACTTGGCCATGTATAGGTTTTAGGGGCTGTGTGGTGATTTTTTTTTCTTTTAGCAAGAAAGTGGGATTTTAGCAGGGCCTATAAGTAGGGGTAGGTGGGATTAGGGGTTGTTGGGGCAAGGGTTTTTAGGATTAGGACTCTTCTGTTTCTGGTGTCTCTGTGTATTTGGAGGCTGTCTAGATCTTGAGTGGTGTTTCCAGGGCCATGAAGTGAACTCCAGGGGTGTTAGTTGTGTCTGTGGTATTGCCTGAATTTAGAGAAACAGTATATACTGCAGGGGTGAGCAAACTTTTTCCATAAAGGGCTACATGATAAGTATTTTAGGCTTTGCAGGCCTGTATGTCCTCTTGTTGCAACTACTCAGCTCTACCATTGTAGCATGAAAGCTGTCATAAACAAATGAACATGTTTCAATAAAATTTTATTTGCAGAGACAGGCAGTGGGTCAGATTTGGCCTATGGCTCAAAGTAGTATGACCAGGAGTCAGCAAACTGCTTTTGCTGGTCAGTAAGCAAGCGGAAGGTTCAGTGTTTGAAGGATATTTTGGTATTAATATGTCTCGAGGGAGATGGGCCAGGGAAGGATTGAGACTGTGGGATTGAGACTGTTGGTCCTGCGGTGGAACGTGGTCATGTTGGACTCATTAGCAGAACTGCCTCCAGGTTAGGTCTTGTACACAAAGTCATTGCAAAATAAAATGGTCCTTATGACAGGCCCTAAATTGGAAACTCTAGAAACTAAGTTTGAGGGCCTGGTTTTGTGTGATATAAGTCTTCCCCACTCTGAGCCTCAAACTCGGCCAGTTGTGAGCAACTTGAGGTATCTAGACCAGAACAGGCCTTCTCATACTATGGGTCTGTGGCTGTGCTTAAGGAAATTACCTGCACAATCTCATGCAAGCGTGTGCATTTTTCTGAATGAGGATACACAGCTTGAAGAGATCCTCAAGGAACCTCATGATCCGGACAAAATGAAGAACTGAATTCTTAAGGGCTGGTCTGGCTCTGACCTCAGATTTTCTTTCCCCACCCAGCCCACCTCATTCCTTCCTCTGTGGGCTCAGGTTGCCACAGCTGTGGGCAGGGCTGGGAATTCTTGTCTTTTCAGGAACTTGTTACTGGGTGAGCAAATAGAAAATGGGGGAGCTATCTGTCAGTTGATCCTTTCACTTCTGTTTCAAGGTTATGGCAGCAGGAAGCCTCTGGATTGTGAGTGAAACCAGTCAGGCAGCAGAGGTTGGAGCAAGCTGCCAACTCCAGTCACACCCTGGGTTTTACAAGAGCAAGTCTCATCCCCTCTGCCGCCTTCCATTTTGCTCATTGTGCCAGGGAGGTGGGACTAGGTTTTGGTTTTTTTTTTAATTTAATGGAGGTACTGGAGATTGAACCCAAGACCCCGTGCATGCTAAGCACAAACTCTACTACTGAGCTGTATCTACCCCCCTGGAAGGAGAGGTTGAGGTGAGGGGGATATAGGGAGGGCAGGCTATTCCCCAGCTCCCCTACCGCCTCTTCCCTGTCTCCAGGTGGCCTGTGGATTCTCCCACCACCATCCAGGTCCTGAGATGTGGTGAATCACAGCCTGTCTGCCACCATTTCCCCAGAATGGACCGAGGTAGCCTTCTGCCCTTCCAGCTGTGGTGCCCCCGGCCCTTTGGCACCTACTCCCAGAACCAGCCTCGGCCACCTTCCGCAGCCCTCAAGCCGTCAGCCTGCCCGGAGCCAGGCAACGGGGCGGAGCCAGACCATGGGCCTGCCCACTCAGAGAACACACCTCCAGCCTTGGCCACAGAGGCTCCTGCCTCCCAGCCTGGTCCACTTCTTTCAGCAGCAGCTGCTGGCGATGAGGGTCGAGTCTTGCTGGACACATGGTATGTTATCAAGCCCGGGAATACAAAGGAGAAGGTGGCCTTCTTTGTGGCCCACCAGTGTGGTGGGGGCAGCCGAGCCAGCTCCATGAAGGTCAAGGGGCACTGGGGCAGTGACAGCTCCAAGGCCAAGCGGAGGAGACGCTGTCTTGAGCCTACAAAGGCTCCACCAGACCCAGGGGGACAGGAGGGGCCCCCTGCTGCTGAGGGGGCCCCAGCTTCAGCCAGCGAGGATGTGGACCTGCTCTCTGTGGCCGAGATGGTGGCCCTGGTGGAACAGCGGGCCGCCCTGGCCCTTCAGAACTACCCACGCCCCAGCACCCCAGCGCCTGTGGTCTTTGTGTCGGCTGAGCAGGGTGGACCTGCCAAGGGGCTGGGGTCGGAGCGGCGGGCTGGTGGCGGGGACTGCAGCCGTGTAGCTGAGGCGGTGGCCCACTTTGAGGCCCAGCGGGACAACCCTCCAGCCAAGGGCCTCCGCAAGGAGGAGCGGCCTGGACCAGGCCCTGGGGAAGTGCGCATCGCCTTCCGGATCTCCAATGGCCGAGAGCCCCGGACACCAGATGGCAGCTTGCCCAATGGGAGCGGGGGCCGACCGGGTTGTGCCTACCCTGGCAGCCCAGGTCCTGGGGCCCGGGCCAAGGACAAGATCACCTGCGACCTATACCAGCTTATCAGCCCCTCTCGGGATGCCCTCCCCAGCAACGTGGAGTTCCTGCTGGCCAGGGCAGATGAAGCCAGCGAGGGTGAGACCCCAGCCCCTGCCAGGCCTGAGGACACTCCCCCGGCGCCCCCTCCACCCCCTGCCCGGGACTGTGGAGCATCTGGCTTCCACGTGGACGTGGTGGTAACAGGTGTGGTGGACGAGTGCATCTTCTTTGGCAAGGACGGCACCAAAAACGTGAAAGAGGAGACGGTGTGCCTGACTGTCAGCCCCGAGGAGCCACCCCCACCTGGCCAGCTCTTCTTCCTCCAGTCCCGTGGGCCAGATGGGCCGCCCGAGCCACCCCCAGCGGACTCGCCGGCCACCGCGCCAGGCCCGGACGATGCTGAGGGGACGGCGGACACCTCCCTGTGCCGCCTGTACCGGCACGTGTCTCATGACTTCCTGGAGATCCGCTTCAAGATCCAGCGGTTGCTGGAGCCCCGACAGTACATGCTGCTGCTGCCTGAGCACGTGTTGGTCAAGATCTTCAGCTTCCTGCCCACGCGGGCCCTGGCGGCCCTCAAGTGCACCTGCCACCACTTCAAGGGTATCATTGAGGCGTTCGGCGTGCGGGCCACAGACTCACGCTGGAGCCGCGACCCACTCTACCGCGATGACCCTTGCAAGCAGTGCCGCAAGAGATACGAAAAGGGCGATGTGTCGCTCTGCCGCTGGCACCCCAAGCCCTACCACCACGACCTGCCTTATGGACGTTCCTACTGGATGTGCTGCCGCCGAGCTGATCGCGAGACGCCCGGCTGCTGCCTGGGGCTGCACGATAACAACTGGGTGCTGCCCTGCAATGGGCCGGGTGGGGGCGGGGGCCGGGCCGGCCGGGAGGAAGGGAGGTGAAGCCGGGGGAGGGGGGGGGAAGAGCCCACCATGCCCACCCCCACCCCCTCCTGCTGGGAGCCGAGGGTCAGGACTGGGTGGCCAGCCCATACCCCCAGTCCGGGCAGCGTTGAGCCCCACTCCAGAACTGAGGTGGGTTCAGGGCGATGACCCAGGAAAACACTTGGCTTGACCCCTACTGGTTTTCTACTCTTGAGACCCTCAAGTAGGGTAGGTTGTTTTTTTTTTAATCAGCATCTCAATTTCTTCTCCATTCAGCCCCATTGCCCTCCCTGCCACTCCCCATGCCCCAGGGACCCACCAGCAGGGAGCAGACGGCAGCTAATTTTCGTACTACTTAAGGGTTCCCCCATTCTGGCCCCCTTACTTTCCCTCCCCCAGTTCTTGGTCTCAGGAGCTGTTTTTTCCCCAAGAGGCTGCAGCACCCACGGTTGGTTCCTCTCCTGAAACCTACTCCACCAGGGCTCACCTCTTTAGGAATCCGGGGGCTGGCAGATCACGAATCAGATTTGGCACTTTTCCTGGCAGCCTGTCATTTCTAGACGTCTCCCCCATGAAAACACAAATCCATTTTCTCCTTAACCTCAAGCTGCCTGTCTCTCTGCTTCCCCTAACGGGGGAGAGGGAGAAAAAAGTTGAAAATTGAAGTATGAAAAGTCCCCTCCTCCCAATATGTAAGCTGTTGCCATCACTACCCCCCTCCTCGCCCCACAAAAAAAGCTGTGAAGCCTTTTGCCTCGCTCTTGACAGCGTGGGGGGGGCCGGTGGGCAGGGACCGTGGGTTTGAATTTCTGGGTTGTTTTTCCTTCCGCTCTGGATACTTGTTCAGGTGTTGCTGGGGGAGGTCTCGCCACCCTCAGCCACAGGTGTTTCTTTAGAATCCTTTGGTCAACCAAGACCTTGATTTTCAGGCAGTTTCATTGGGGGGTCATTTTGTTTGTTCTTTTTGGGGTTTTTTGGGTGGGGGTTTGGGGTTTTTGTTTTTTTTTGGTTTTGGTTTTTCATCCTTGTGGTTCTGGAAAGCTTCTAACGTGTGGCATCTGGCCAATTTTGAATTGGTCCTTTGTATAAAATCAATATTTATAAGGTTGGGCCCAGACTGGTTTGTGTGTTGTTCATGGAGGGGGTTGGGGAGAGAAGGGAGTCATGATGAGATGGAAAAAGTTGAGAGAGAAGGATCTTTAGCCAAGTCCGTCAGCCTGAGATTATTTTTGACTCTTCATCTGTGTCAGTTTGGATTTGGAAATCTCAAAATAGTAGAAGCTTAAACAAGATAGTTTTGATTTCTATAGAAACCCAGTCAGTGTTGGGCATTATGGTGGCCCTGAAGGCATTGGGAACCCAAGCTTCTTCTAGCTCGTTATTTCATCATTCTTTGGCTGTGGCCTCATCCTCATGGTCCAAGATGGCTGCTAGAGCTCCACCCATCACCATTTTATAGAAAGTTCCCTTCCTTCCGGTTGTACTACCCTATACTTCTATACACACCTCCCAGGTCAGAACTTTAGGCACATGGAAGGACTGCAAAGGAGACTGGGAAATGCAGTCTTTTAGCCAGGTGCATTATGCCCAACAAAAAACTCTTATTAAAGATCCCTGTAATTGAAGCTTTAAAATATTCAGTTAATTATTTACTAAAAGAAGAGGGGAAAATGGATATTGAGTGGTGGCTAATAGTCCCTGACATTCTTATCAAGGAATCAGAATTTTCAAGGAGACAAAGGTATATCATGGTAGTTACTTAATACTTAGATTTTAGAATCAAAGAGACCTAGGTTTGAATCTTGGCTTGATTTTGTGGGACTTCAGTTTCCTATGGAGGGAAGGCCAGATTATTTAGACTCTCCTGCAGAAAACAGGAAGTTAAAAAATCTTAAAAGCATCAAATAGCTAATAAAGTACAGTTAAGGACATATACTAAGCCAGAAATTTAAGGGAAAGGTCCATGAGGCCCTGAAGCCACTTCGGATCTGAGGACACTTGCTGATGTGAACAAACTTGGATTCCCTATTTGCAGCCTTACTGGGACAAGCAGGCAGAAGTCAAGGCCAAAGCCTGTCCAAGGGGAGAAATCTAATAGGAGCTGAGATCCCACCGAACTATACACTCAGATAAGGCTGACCCAGAAGACTGCAGAGAGGACGTTTTAAACACTGAGGGGAGCACAGGACTAAGAGAAAGAAAGCAAAAAATGGACCTTGAGAATTTGTGGCCACAGGCTGGTCCTTGGCTTGGGTTTGTGTCCCAGGGTACTTCTAGCTGAGATGTCTGGCAGAAACCAACAAATCCTCTGGTAGAAAGAGCTATTATCTCGAATCCCCACCAATAATTTTTTAGACAGTGAGTGGTAACAGTCAAGTAACAAAACACCCATGGAAATAAAGCAGCATGAGCGAGATCCAGCAGAGGCAACAGAGCAAAAACACTCACAAAGACTTCAGGCGGTGGAACTGTCAGCCACAGATTAGAAGGGGAAAAAAAGAGCTTGGAAATAACTGCAGGGAAACCAGACCTAAATAACGGCCTAGCGGAAATGAAAGGAAAAAACCCACAGATGGACAATAGCCCAAAGTCAAAACTCAATGTGCTGGGCTAAACAACAAATTAGACACAACAAATAAGAGACAAAGATTTATTGAACTAGAGCTGGGTCTGGAAAGTAGCACAGAGAGAGAGAGGAAAAAAAAAAAGAATGTTTATGGAGGATAGAGGAAGTCTAACACATTGAACTGGCATTCTAGAATCCGAAGAGAGAATGGTGTAATGACAATATTCAAAGACACGATGGTTACAAATTCCAGCCAGGTAAAAGTCCAGTGAGCCCAGCGAGTCCTAGGCAAGATAAATAAAGAGACAAATAATCTAGACATGCTGGGAAAGTGTCCAGCTGTGATCGTCCGTAATTGATTTCTCTGCAGCTCAGTTTCTTGATCTGACAAATGAGAATACTGACAATTCCTCAAAAGGCTGATACGTGAGCCGTTGCACCTACAGTCCTCAACAGTTGTACTCATCAAATACACCTTGTGGCCCCTTCATAGTAGGAAGCTGGAGCAGCCTAAGTTTGGGGGACGGTTGGGAGCTGGGGAAGACATCCCCTTGCCAAGCGTCTGCAGCCTCATCTGTAAAATGGGGTTCATGATCCTTAACCCAAATTCAAGTGAAAAATGTGCCCAGGCCCCTGGCCCAGTGCCTAGTGTGCAGTACACTCAGCAAGATGGCTTGCAGGTAGGTATGAAGGGCTGGGGATGTAACTGAACACACTGCTTCCCCTCTCAACACAGAGGTGTTGGTGTCACTTACTTCTGGGTGGCTGTGAGGCTGACGGGGTGGCTGTGAGGCTGACGGGGACATGCTGTACTTTTAAGGGGTTGCACCATGCCTGCCAGCCAAGGAATGGACAGACAGGAACTCTCCTTGTGATTGAGACCCTCTTGCCACCCTGGCTGATGTCTGTCAGTTGCCCTTGTGAACTCGACTTCTGCTAATTCCATCTCTAGGAGGCTGTTGGTACCCGGCCCCCACTCCCAACCCCGCTCTAACTTGGGGCCAGTTAAAAGCCTCAGGGGGAGCTACTTTTTGTCAACAATCTGTAGGTCCAGCACAGGTGATTTTTGGAGGGGAGGTAGGAGATGGGGGTTGGGAGCAGAGCTGTGGGTGAGAATTGGGGCTCTGTAAATAACTGGTTGGTAATCCTCAGCTCTGGCCACTTCATTTGCAAAATGAGAACCGAAATTGTACCTACCTCCAGATTTGGGGGGAGACTAAATGAGTTGGTATCTGCGAAGTGCTTATAGGGCCTGGCACACAGTTGATGCCCCATAACTGTCAGCTGCTGTGGAAGAACGTGAATCAAGGACCTGATTATCCTCTCATCTGATAGCCTGAGTTGCAGCCCATGAGTTCTCTTGAGTCCTCTCCAGCCTTGAGTTGGCTTGGAAGGCCAATGTGCACCTTTACTCTTTGACCCTCCATCCTGGCTGGCATCCCTGCGGCCTACCAGCTCTCCATCAGAGTCACAAAATCAGCAGGTATGGAACCCAGCACAGGACTCCCTTTCTAGGCATCCTCCACTGTATGGGTTGCTTTGGGGTAGGTTTGCTGAGCAGCTATGAGTGCACCAAACCTGCATCCTTAAGGACAGCGTGTCCTAAAGTTTGCTAATCATCTGACTTCCTCAGGGACTTGTTACAGAGTCCTGGCTCCTCTCTGAAGTTCTGACTGAGTAGATCTGGGGTGGGACCCTGGGGAGAGCATTTTTTAAAATAAGCACCCCAGTTGAGCCTGAAAATCAGATAGGGCAGAGAAATAATTCCTGGGGCCATCACTAGAGTTGGCAGTTACACACACCAGCTCTCACTTGCATACCCACAGCTGAAAGGAAAAGGATTATTTAACTAGTTTACAGTGAATGTAGATATGTCTTATCCGTTCCTACAATATGTGCCCTCAAACTAGCAAAACCCAGCGTTTGCCGAAGTATCTTTTGAGGTACCCTAGTTCTGTGAGGTGCTTCCCAATAAAGGGGTTCCATGGTGAAATACTTTGGGGAATACTGCATTCTCTCTTACTTTTGAAAATTCACATGGTGCAATGAAGAAACTCATTTAATGTCTCACCCCGCTTCGAACCCCTTGTTCATGCAACACCTATTTATGCTAGTTTCCACAGAATATGTTTTGCAGAAGCACCGATTTACTGCCACTTGGATCTGGCAGAATCTGGAGTTCCCAAGTCTTGGCTTCCATCTCCTCTGTTCCTGCTTCTGAGCACACCCTCTGTGGGCCCCGTGTGGTGCATCTTTGTGGGAGTTGGGTTTGGACTGGTGCAGTAGCAAGGCTGCCATTTTGGAGAAGGAACCAACACAAAAACATAAGTCACAGAGAATTCATTTGGTTGGGGGTATTGCTGGTCCAGACGCCAGTCCACAGTTGGCCAATCAAAACTGAGAACTGGCACTTGGTCCCTGTAAACCTTCAGCCCAAGTGTTTCCCTCAGGGCAGGGGCCAAGTTCATTCCTTTGGCTCTCACTCCACAGTGGTCTGTCTCTTCCATGACTTTGAAGAGTGGCAGCTTGAGAGAGTCAAAGAAAGAGGGTCTTCCAGTCACAGCACAAGCAGAGCCAAGGGTGTCACCAAGGACCAGCCAGCACACCCCAGGCCGGCCTGGCCCAAGCTCCTTGGCTGCAGGGCCCCAGCCACGTCCCCCGCTGGGCGCTTCTTCCTCAGAGTCAGCAGGGGGCGCTAGAGCCCCAGGTACTCAGCCAGGAACACAGCGAGGATGCGGCTCAGGTTGTGTACCGTGGGTGGGTGCAGGTTGGCCTCAGAGTCATCAGACGTGTGCCAGACGGAGGGGAAGGGCGTGGAGATGAGGTGGAGCACTGGGACCCCTGTGGGACAGAGAGGCAGCTCAGGCCCCGTGCGTGGACCACAGCAGCCCCAGGAGCCCAGGCCCATGCCTGGGGAAACTTGCTTGGTCCCCTTCAACAGAAGATACTCTGTTGTGGCACTTAAAGAACTCTGAACAATGATTTTAAGTGTGTGAAGGTACATGTTCATTTAAAAACTAGACCCAGTATATTTAGACCTGGTATATTTATTGTCTTCATGACACAAATTAGAAAAACTTAAAACTTGACGGATTATGGAAAGACCAGAAGAAGGGAAGGATGTCTTTGACCCTCCTTGCCAGGTATACCTATTAGGCTTTTTCTCTTCTTTATTAACAGTTAGCGTTTATGTCCTATTCCAGGTCTGAGTCTAAGGCCACACACACACACACAAACACACGCAGGCAATTTTATCCTTACCATCATCCTAGAAGGTGTACTATGATATCCCCATTTTACAGATGTGGACACTAGGCACAGAGGCAGGCAGAGTGATTTGCCTAAGGTCCCACCTCTAGGAAACAGCACAGTCAGAATTTGAGCCCAGGCCACCTGTCTCCAAAGTGTGCGCTCCTAAACCTTGCACTGCAATGGGTTCCTGTCCTCAGAGCACTTCCCTCTGTTTTTGTCCACATTTGGTAAATGTCTGCCCCCCTACTACAGGAGCCAGGCCCATCCCTGTTTCCCTGCCACCTAGCTCAGTACCTGCCTTGGGAAGTGGTCACTGACTGAATCAGTAAAGGCATTGCAAGAAATGTCTATTTGTTGAATGCGTATAGAGTGAAAATTTAAAAAGCAGTTTTTGGCACTTAGTGCTTGGCCAAGTACTGTGTAAAATGGCATTTTATATACCTAATCTCATTTAATCCTCCCAACCCTGTGACTAAGAATATATACATACACATGTGTTTGTATGTATGAAGAAATGGGGGCACAGAGACACTAAGCAATTTGCCCTAGGTCCACCAATGGTAAGTCACAGCTTCTAAAACCCAGACCTGTCCAATTCTAAAAACCTATGTTCTGAACCTCTTGAACAGATGTCTTCAACACTGGCTGTGCGTCAGAATCATCCGGGAGATTTGTAAAAATAATGCAGAGGCCCAAGATTGTGGTTCAGTAGGCTTGAAATGTGACTAGGTATTTTTTGAAGCTCAGGTGATTATGCTGGGCTGCCAAGGCCTTGAAAGGCAAGAACGAGAAGAAACTGCTATCACTGAGACACCATCAGCAATGGCTAACATGTCCTTAATGCTCGCTAGTGCCAGGTGCTGGTCCAAGGTTTTTACATATTAACACATTCAATCCCCTCAACAACTCTCAGTTGGAGGCTATCATCCCCATTTTACAGATGAGGAAATCAAGGTACAAATAGGTTAAGCAACCTGCCAGCAGTCCCCACCTCTGGGAAGGGGCCAGGGCCAGGTCCCATCTGTGGCTCCCTTGAACCCCTGCCCCCCACTCCTCTCTGCAGCAAGTACCTCGGCGGAGGAAGGGGATGTGGTCATCTTCCACAGAGCCAGGGGGCTCCCCAGACTGGAAATACATCACTTCCCAAGGATGAGACTGCAGTAGGTTCAAACGGTGCAGGCGCTTCTCTGGAGGCACGGGGATTAGAGAGCAAGGGTCAGCTCCTCAAGGGTCAAAGGTTCCCCTATGCACAAATCAAAGGAGGGCAGGGGGCCTGGGGGTAAAGCACTGGTCATCCCAACAAAGATGAGTGTTAATTACTCCTTCCTGCTGGCTTACTGTCTTCCCAGTCTCATTAAATCCCTCTGAGTCTAGGGATTACTCCAATAATCATTACCACCATACCCTATTTATATATACGAAATTGAGGCTTGAGAGATGAAACCACTTGCCCAAACTCACATGACTGGTAAGGAGAGTAGAATTTGGACTCAAGCCCCTGTTTGTAATCACAACATTTGACTGCTGTGGGACTTTTTTGTGTTTCTGCCCTTGTGCTTTAGAGAGAGACTGGGGAGGCAGAGGGAAGGCTAGATGACCCCTTAGAGGACAGGTGCCTGGCCCTCCCTCCAGCATCCCAGGCTGGTCCCTGCCTCCACCTTCGCCCTTACCAATGCTCCTCAGCCGATAGAACCAGCGGGACGTGCGAGGGAAGTGACTGTAGAAGGTCGGGTTGGGGGCTCCCAGGAGATCAAGAAGCATAAAGAGCTCCTAGGGAGAGAGGTCAGGACTGGAGAGGCCAGGCAGGGTGCTGCCAACCTCATTTCACCCTCTTCCCACTTCACCAGAACCCAGCAGGGCCTGAGCTTACAATAGCCTGGATCCTGGTGAAGCCAGAGCTGTGGGGTGCAGACTCCATGAGCTGGGCCAGGTGCCGGGAGCCATAGAGGGAATCCTTGGGTCCCCACTCCTTCAGTGCCTCTTCACCGTCCAAGAAGAGTAGCTGCAAGGTGACTGGGGCTGCCTGGGGGAGCCAGTGATCAGGGCCAGCTCAGTGCCAGACTTCAGCCACAAGCCACACACATTTCCTGCCAACTTCCACAGCCAAACAGGGCAAACTCAGCCTGCTCACTGGTAGAGTGCGGTGGCCAAGAGTATAGACCCTGAGCCAGATCATCTGGGTTCAAATCCTGGCTGGGATGTTTGGCAGCCGAGCAGTCACAGGTAAGTTACTAACTTCTCAAAGCATTGGTTTCCTTATGTAGAAATGGGGTTAATCAGAGTTCTAATTGTAGGGTAGGATTCGAACCCAAGTCCTAGGACAGTGCCTGGCATATAGTAACTAAATAAGGGTTACTAAGCTCTGATCATTATTGTCATACCTTAAGCTCATTTAGCAAAAGAGACTGACCCACAAATAAATTATACAAATAATGAAATGCAGTTGGGCAGATGCTTCCAAGAATGATAGGATCCTGTAAGGGTACAGGAAATGGGTTGGGGGAACTTGGCCTGGGGATCTGTCGTGAAGGGATGTCTGTGCTGAGGCTGAGTGGAACTGGCCTGGTAAAATGGAGGAGAGGGAAGAGTGTTCCCAGGTGAGGAAGCAACATAGATCTGGACTGGGGCCAGAGAAGGGGTCAAAGAGGTTTAAGAAGAAGCCCAAGGGGCCAGCAAGGGCCACGGAGTTTGGGCTTTGTTGCAGTGGCGGTGGGGGTTTTGAGCCATAGAGAGGATCTGAGCAGGGGAAGAGTGTGAGGAGATGTGTGTTTACATTCATTCATTCCATACATTTTTTTTATATCCTGCTTGATGCCAGGCAATATTCTGGGCCCAGGGACTAGAGCAGGAAATAAAAGCAGCCAAGGGCCTGCCTATCCAGAGCTTATGCAAGCTGGGGAGACACACCAACAAATCAACAAAAAGTACCATGAGGCAATGGGATAGTGACAGGGAGCTATTTTAGGGTGGCTGGGAAGGTCTCTTGGAGGAGGTGACATTAGAGTGGACCTGAATGAAGGGTGGGAGCTGAGGAAAGCACATCCTAGGCAGAGCAAACAGCATGTGCAAATGTCCTGAGGTGGAGTGAATTCTCTGGGCTTGAGGTACCTGGAGGAGGCTGGAGACCAGAGTGGAGTGAGTAATGGGTGAGGAGTGGGAGATGAGACCAGAGAGGTGAGAGGGCATACCTCCTGGGCTAATAGAAGGACTCTGGCTTATACATGGAACAAGGTGGGAGCCATGGGAGGGCTTGGGGCAGAGAAGGGACAGGATCTGACATTTAGAAAGACCCTATGACTCTGGCGTGGAGAGGAGGAAGATGACTACGAAAGGGAAGGTGGTGGTTTGGACCAAGGCAGAGACAGCCCCTGCCTTCCACCCCAACCCTAACCCCACTCCTTACCTGCTCCTTGGCTCTACTCAGCTCTAGGTCGAGGGCTTGGGCCAGCTCCAGTAGCAGGGCACAAGGCACAGCCGAATCCGTGGCCCCCACAAAGGGGGCCGACCCAGATGGTAAGAGCTTGGAGTCATAATGGCATGCCAGGGTAAGGTGACGGGCAGCCCCTGGGTCCAGTGTGGCCACCACGTTGCCAAAGTCCAGTGGCCCCAGGGGTGTTGAGGCCGTGAAGGGGTCCAGTTCCACATGCCAGCCTGCCGTCAGGGTCCGCAGTGTGGCCTCTAGGAACTAGTGGCAAGAGAGAGGTGGGAAGGTGGGAGGGGACTGGGGAGGAAGTTGGTAGAAGAGCCATATGACCTGAACCAGGCAGAGCAGTCAGGTTGACTCACAAATCCTACTTTGGTTTAATCATTCCCTGGATGCATTTCTGCTGAGCACCTACTAAGTGCCAGATATGGAGGGACCCTGCCTCTGGATGCCATGACTAATCACAGCTCACCCTTCAATAGCACTCACTCTGTGCCAAGCTCTGTTCTACGAACCTTATGGAGTAGGGACTGTCATTGGTTCCATTTTGCAGATTAGGAGACTGAGGCACAGAGAAATTAAGAAACTAGTCCAAGGTCACACTCTGAGTGGCTGAGGTAGATCTGAACTCAGGCAGTGATCAGATAACTCTCAATGCTTTCTAGGAGGCAACATAGAGATGTTGCAGCACCAATTCTGGAATCAACCCATTTGGGCTGAAACCCTAGGCATACCATTTATTAGCTGTAGGATTTGGGCAAAATATCTAACAGATCTGGGCCTCAGTTTCTCCATCTGCATAATGAAGATCAGATTGGTACCCACCTCATAGCTTTCCGTGAGGGCAGTACAGTCTGGTGGTTACCAGGATAGAACTCTAGAGTCAGGTTAGTTCCAGGCCGAGGGCAAAACACCTGTTTCCCATTCCTTGATAGGCTGCGGGGTCAGGGGTTGGAGGTGGGGCTCTTTACCTTTCTGACTTGGAGATTGCCCGGGCTGCCCGGGGTCCGCACAACCAGCAGGGGGCGCAGATAAGTGTTCCAGAGGCGGTGCGGGTCCAGTTGCCCCACCACCCTCCGCAGCCGGGCTTCGGGGAGGCTTCCGATCAACGGGCCCTTGGGAAGGAGGTGGGATGGGGAAAAGAAGAGCAGAGCATGAAAGTAACCCTCATTCCAACCCTACCCCGGGGCTGTTGTCCCTAAGAAGCCTCGGTTCCTCTTCCCATCCCGGCCTCTAGCATCGGAGTTTTCTAGGATAAATTCTAGACACGGGAGAGTCCCCCCAAGCCCATCCGGCCCAGGCCACTCCAATCCTGATGGGGAAATCGAGGCTCAACGAGAGGAAGGGACTCTTCCAAATAGTTGACTTTAGGATTAGAATCCAGAACTCCCAGTCTTACTCCTTCAAACCATTCCTCTTACGGGGGAACCGCTATTACAGCAAGCCAGAAGCCTCATTCCATCGGAAAGAGATAAGCGCTCTAATGACGGAGACGGCGACACCTGCGGCTAGAGCCACACGATAAAGCCACGTCAACCTGAGACCTTGAGGGAGGCGAGGCGAAGAATGAGGGCTTCCGCAGTGCCCACGTCCCCGCCCGGCCTCACCCGCAGCTCCCGGCCCACCGGCAGCTCCTCAGTCTGGCGGTGCCAGCCGCTCCAAATGGTGTAGAACACCGAGGCCACCGCCAGCGCCAGCAGTAGCACGGGCAAAAGGTGCGCCCGCGGTAGCAGGCGGCGCTTGGGCGGTGAGGGTGGCTCCAAGAGGCTGCGTTCCCCAAGCCGTAGCCGGGGCCGCCCGCGGCCCCCGGAACGCATGACAGCTTCGCCCTGAAACCGTCCCGAGACAGCGGATAGAGTTTAGGCCCAGCCAAGTCCCACCCCATGGAATCACCAGACCAATGAACAACAATAGCGGCTGCACCATCCCACCCTCCAGCGAGCAGTAAAGCCAATGGGGACTTTCGTTCTGAGGACACGCCTCCCTGTCTCCTTGGGGCTTCGAGGGTTGGTACCCCTGAGAGTTGCACAACCCAAAAGGGAGCGCGAAAGAGATAGGCACCGCCTCAGCGGAGGAGGGGAAGCCAATGAGAGGCGTTAGATCATAGAAAATGTTCGACTTCCCGGGCGTAAGTACACGCCCCTCCCTGATGTAGGCAAAGGATTGGTTATTCGCAGTCCAAAAAATCAACAGACAAATGGTCCCCGAAGAAAAAGGGGAGCAGTCTATCCCTAAAGCGAGGAGTGGATTGGCTTCGCGGAGGCCCCGCCCCCGAAGGCAAGGCGGGCGGAAGTTTGCAAACAGCTTGTCCTCTTACTCCTTCACTCTGTGCTGTTCCACAACAAAATGGTTTGAGTCGGACCCGCTTTATTTCCTCTCCATTGTCGTGAACACCTGTCCCACTGTCCTGAATCTGAATGACCTCAAACCACTACGTAAGACTTTTACCCCACAGCAGTGTAGGGCTGGCAGAGGTCGCTATGGCAACAGGTCACGCCCCACCCGCTGGTTGGGTTTGCGCAGGCTCCCACGGAAGTGGGCCGCAGGAAACGGAAGTCCCGCCTTTCTCGCTCTCTCTTCAGAAGCTGAAGCAACGCGGAGGAGGCAGGAGTGACTTGAGAGCGCGGCAGCCACCACCACCATGTGAGGCCGGGCTGGGTTTAGGTGGTGGGAGTGGGGCTGAGGGTGTAAATTTGGCCACTTACCGGTGGAAGGGGGTGGACCCAGTGAGGGGGCGGAAGCAGTCATTTTGGGGGTAAAGTGGCGTACTTTTCTACTGATGAGTTTGAGAATGGGCCTGGGGCCTTTGACGGATCCTGACTAAGGGAGAGGGGACAGCTTTATGAGATAACGGGCTGAACTTTCCCAAATAATCAATCTTACTGAAATGAATTTTATGGGGAGGCGATTTTACAAATAAAGAACCTGGGAGAGGAGAGTACGGACTCTTAGGAATAACGATTTGAGTTAAGCGTGTTATTCGGATAATTTGAGCTGGAGACGGTTGGCTTTTCGACCTAATTCGCGGTTTTTACGGTTAACGAGTTACTGATATGATTTTACTTATGTATTCATTTAACAATCATTTATTGACTAATCATGTATCAGGCTGCTTTAGACACATAACAGTGAATTACCCCCACCCCTCCCCCAAGGAAAAAAATCCCCTTCTGCATCTTATGGAATGGGAAGAGGCAGGCAATAAATGTAATGGTAATAAGTAGGTAAAATATATCGTGTGTTAGGTGATGAGTGGCCGTAGAGTGGCAGTAGAGCAGAGGGGAAAGAATGGGGAGGACAGGACACATTAAGGAGGCCGTACTTGAGCAAAGACCTGAAGAAAGTGAGATACCTGGGGAGGTCTTCAGGCAGAGGGGAAAGCAAATGCAGAGGCACAAAAAGAAATTTTGCCTAATATTTTCAAGGACCACTCAGGAGGCCACTGTGGCCAAAACAGTGAGAGAAGGCTGCAGATGTAGGTCATTGTAAAAACTTTCGATTTTACTTTTTACACTGAGATAGGAACCATGAGAGGGTTTTGAAGAGTGAGATGATATGATTGAGGTCTCAGTCTCACCCCTGAGACTCCTCTGTGGAGAACAAACTTATGGAGCCTGGGTGGAGGCAGGGAGGCCAGTAAGACTCTAGAAGGGAGAGGATGGAGGTTCAGGCCATGGTAAGAAGTGGTCAGATTCTGATACATTTTAGAGGCAGGGGACTGAACAGGAGGCCATGACCACCCTCCAGCTCCACTTCTGGGCCCTCTCACCTATGGGTTCCATACTTGCCCACTCAGGAGCCTCCTCAATAAGCCCAAGAGTGAGATGACCCCGGAGGAGCTGCAGAAGCGGGAGGAAGAGGAGTTTAACACGGGTCCACTCTCTGTGCTCACGCAGTCAGTCAAGAACAACACTCAAGTGCTCATCAACTGCCGCAACAACAAGAAGCTCCTGGGCCGGGTGAAGGCCTTCGACAGGTGAGTGCCAGGGTCCCAGGAGATGTTCCGTCTGGGCCTGGAGAAGCAGTCCCAGCTCCATGTGAGGAGCTTGAATACAGGGTTTCTCAGAAGCCTGGAGCACGATCATTTTGAGACCCTGAGATGTGACTTGTCTCTCGTTGTCCCTCCAGCTGTGGAGTACGGTGGTTATGGCCATGTGCTTGGGGAGCCAGTCATGTGTTCTTAGCAGCTCTACCTCTTAGTAGTCACGTGACCTTCGGCAGGTGACTGTCTCGTCTGTACAGTGGCAGTAATCGTTGTAGTTATAAAGATTCAATCATTTAATATATGAGAAGCATAGTAAGTCATTAGAAGTATCTGGCACACAGTGCTCGTAATCAGTTTTCACAGTTAATGCACAATGAGAGCATCCACCCGTGTCAGTTTTACCCTCCAGAGATAAAGCAGTGACCGAAACAAACATGGTTCCTATACTCGGGGAGCTTATGCTTGTAGTTTTAGGTGGGGAAGCCAATAGCAAACACATAAATAATGTGTTGTAAAGACAAATGATTATAAATTCTATGCAGAGAAGTAAAGCCAGGTAAGACTTTGGAGTACGGGGAAGCGAGTCTTGTCTTAGCTGGGTAATACAAGAGGCCTCCTAGGAGGAGATGATGGTGGACAGACCTGAATAAAATGAAGGAGCAAGGTAGGGTCTGAATGTTTCAGCCAGAGGGAGCAGCCAGTAATTTTTCCTATCTGGGCTTCAGTTTCCTTATCTGCAAAATGTGCATCATAGTAATACTCCCTAGGACAATTGTGAGGGATAAATGACACTCTGTTGGAAGAGCACTTGGCTCAGTACCTAACACGTGATAAATGCTCAGCACACATATGACCCGCAGCCTTTAGTTAGTATTTGGGCCATGCTTTCCTCATGGTGGTATGGTGAGGCTTCTGGAATGCTTTTACCACTAGCTGTTGATGTGACCATGAGCAAGTCTTTCGCTCTGAGCCTTACTTTCCTCTTGAGTAAAATGAGTGAGGACAAGAGAAGGGGCCGAGCACCAGGAGGCAGGGAGCCCTGGATTTGAACACAGGCTCTGCCACTTCCAAAATGTGTGACCTCGGGTGAGTCACTTCATCCCACTGGGCTCAGTTTCCTGCTCTAGAAGTTGGAGAGAACAGTAGTGTTTACATTTTTTTTTTTTTAAGTTGATTCTTTTTCCTTTTCTGCTAGCTTCCTCCTCTGCCCCTATGTTAGCCTCTCACTCTGCCACCCGACCCAGCATATTGCTGTAGTATGTTTCCTGCAATGTTTCAGTCACATGCATACATTCAGGGGCTCCTTGGTGGTGGGAGTTAGCAGCTTTTTTGAGGCATAATTGATTTGTCATAGTATCATAAAATTGTTCTTGAGATAGTCTTCTCTGTACTCTGTTGCATCTTGTTTTTCACACAAATCAGTGGTCTGAGGACATCAACACAGATCAGCTAAAACATTCTTAATTAACCACTTTATTTACATAATTATGTTACTTTCTTGAGTGAACAATGGATGCAAAATTTGAAAAATACAAGAGGCACCAAGTGAAGGAGAAGTCGTCTCCAACCCCTTTGCCCCACTTGCCCTCCTGAGGGACCCCGTCGTGGCTAATTTCTCAGGTTTACTTGAACAGATCATCATACATGTAGATATAGGAGGGTGATTTTTATTTATTTTTAAATCACTACTAATGGCACACCACACAGTTTTAGACCTTGGCTTCTTCACTTAACATTATACCTTGGAAATGTTCCCATATTGGCACATTACTTTCTTTTTTTTTTTTAACTTATTTTCTCTGAATTGATAATATATTCACATAATTCCAAAAACAGTAATAATAGTCCAATGAAAAGTTTCCATGTAGTTTGTCCCCAGTCTACCTAGGTCACCCCACTGCCACCAATCACTAGATGTCTTTCAAGGATTGTGTATTGCATAAGCAAGTGGTGGGATAGATGCTTTTCCTGCCCCTTTTTTCCTACAGAGGATGACTTTCCATGCTTACTACCTTGCCTTTTTCACTCAGCAGTATCTGCTGGAAGTTACTTCTGAGCAAGGAACAGGCTTCTTCAGTTTTTTTTCTTTTTCTTATGCTTGGTGATATTTCCCTATATCCTCCTGTCCCTTTACTTGCTTTAATCTTTTCTTCGTAGCACTCACCACCACCTGACAGTGTATTACAGGTATCTTTGTTTACTTTCTTCATGTTCTTCTCCTCACTAGAATGCGCACCTCATGAGGGCGGGGATAGTATCTGTTTAATCCATTACTGTATTCATTGCACGCATTTGTTGAGTAAGCTGATCCATGCTGTTGTCACACGTGCCCACCCGGCACCCTGAGGATAAGGACAAAGCAGGACTGGAGGGGAAGCATCAAGTACCGCCTAAGGCCCCAGGGACCTCTGGTTCTCCAAAGAGAAGCCGTTCCTTTACTGATGCCTCCAAAAGTACTTGGAGTTAAAAAGCACAAACAGAATCATTTTTTGCCTATATATGCCTTGGACCAGGCACTAAATACTTGACGAGATTGCCATATTGATTCATTTAATTTTCACAGCAGCCCTAGGAGGTAGGCACCATGCATGTCTCCATTTTAGAGAGGAGACAACAGAGGCACAGAGGGGTGAAGTCCTTTGCCAAAGCCTCACTCTGAGGACTTGCAGAGGTGGCATTGGAGCCTGGCCGTCCTGGTCCCGGGGCCTGCCCCTTCCCCCAGGCTGTGCTGCGGGAGGAGAAGGCAGTACCCTGCAGAGGGAGGCCGGTCAGAAGGCACCCCCCTCACTCCTGATGCCTCTCCTTGCCCCACCAGGCACTGCAACATGGTGCTGGAGAATGTGAAGGAGATGTGGACCGAGGTCCCCAAGAGTGGCAAGGGCAAGAAGAAGTCCAAGCCAGTCAACAAGGACCGCTACATCTCCAAGATGTTCCTGCGCGGGGACTC